CACCTTGGGCGAAACTAGGTTTCGGAGGTTTCGGAAGTTTCGCCTGGCCGAAAGTTTCGGTTTAGGCCGTAACACTAATTCATAGTTAAATATATAGTAGATAGAGAGTTATAAATATTTAATGTTTAATTATAGACTTCTTTTACAGCTTAGCATAGCTATTTTATTGTTTATTTATTTATTTTTTTTGTCAAAAATTCGTGTAACAGTTATCGTTAGGAATCAAATCGGTCTATATCGATATATATATGTTCAATTGAATAAAATTAACCAATCGAAGTTATTACATATTGTTTATTACTCACGAACAGGCATCATAATAAATGTAGAAAATGTAGAAAGGCAAATATAAATGTCGTGGTAGATACTAAGCTTGCAGTTGGTTGTTAAACAAATAACTATATTTAGTATCTAATATGCTAAACATTTTGACGTACTTGAAACATCCAATTTTATCTTGGCAACACTCATTAAATTTTGCATAATATTATCGTTATAATTTTGACTTTAATAGAAAGCTGTGCTAAAGAACTCTCTACTGAAGATTTAAAATTATATTCAAGATTTGTATTTGTGTCTTACTCATTTGTGTTCTTGGTTAGAAATATAACACATGCATTCTTATTTATTGCAGTTATCCCTTTTGCTTCGGTATATGTCTTCTCTGACCTCTCAAATTCTTTATTAAATGTATGTAATTCCCTTAATATCTATAATTGGCTCGTTTGCTTATGAGCCTTGATCAGAAATACGTAAGTAAATTTAATTACACATCATATATATCTTCGATAGATAATATGCTTGAAAGCCCAAAGGCTGGTTTTCCTTGGTATCATTCGAATATAGAGGATCATTTAATCTTTTTGAGCCACCACAATTCAAACACTAACACTAACGCTTAGGATTTACAAAATTCATGCGATACTAATTACATCATGGGGAATTTTTTTGTAATTTAACATGAGACATCATCAAAGCAAATAACGCAAAATGTTTATTTGCTTTGATCATGATAAGAATCACAATAAACAGCGCAAATATATATATATTTTTTTTTAACTCTATATAATGATAAAAATGAAGTATAGTAAGCAACAACTTAATTTTTTTCCTAAATTAGTGGGATGTCTAATTTCAGGATTTTTTAAACTATGTGTCTCATTTCGAAGCTGTTAATTTTATATAAGCCCCACGTTCCTGTTGCATGGGCTGAGGTCGCTACCCAACAGCTTGATAATATCCTTAAATTAGTATATGTGTGATCACTCTTATTCTCAAAGATATCCGCATTTGATGTGGAGAACATTCACCCTTTAAAGTTGAACCACTTGGGGCTGAAATGCAGTTGTAAATCTACATGTAAAGTACAATACTATAGCTTTTATTTGTGTAGACAATGTTTTCTCTTTTTGTTGTGCTTAATCCTATGTACGTACATATACGTTTGATCAACCGAACTTACCTACAAAAAGTAAATTGTGATCAAAATGAATGGGCAAAATAAGTAATTATACAAAAGACACAATACGAGATTGAAGACTATATTTATGAAAAATATCGTACGATACACGTCATTAATTAAATAATTAACCGCGTGGTGAAAAATAACCAATTGACTGACAACGATATTTTTGAAACGGCATAATTTCAAAAACATTCTGAAAAAGGATTACAGTATGGTACTGCACACGATAATAATTTATTTCTATAAATCAACGCGATTTCTCTAGAAAGTTCAAGCAAAAAAATAATGGCGTCGGTTACAAGAGGCACCGAAAACACCCAAATCAGTTGCGCAATCAAGGCAAGTAATGAACTTGTAAAGAATTTGCATCGCGATGGTTTGGATTGTGGGTGCATTGCGACATTTAATAGTAGAATGGTTGTGAGACAGGTAAAAGATGTTCTCTTTATTATCTCTATACTTTTTCTATACTTTAAATTTTCTTTTTTAAATTTTTTTTTATCAGAATTTTACTAGAGATGAAGCAACATTTTATCGTTCTCTTAACAGTTTAAAGAACTATGTTAGTGGCTCCACTCGTCTTTATGATAGTATTGTTGATATCTTAAAAACCTTTCATAGTAGTGGTGACCGAACTCGTCCTTGGATTTTGGTGCGGTGTATTTTGGATAACAGCAAATCAGATAGTATTATAGTACCTTTTTCAGACATTGTACTTCATAATAATACATCTCGAACAAATAAATACAATTATCCATTGTCACTGTTTGTAATTGTTAATAACGATGGAAAATCGCGTTTGGGTCTCAGACTTTTTTAAATGATGAAACCCAGGAAAGTTATGAGTGATTATTACAACAAACTTTAGATGCTACAGGTGTTGAACTAAAAGTCATATTAACAGACATGGATCTAGCTATAGAGGTAGCATATAAAATGGTATATAAGAATAGTTATCACATACACTGCATTTGGCATATTTCCTAAAATTTATCTAAACAGCTCAAGGCTAAACTCGGAACCACAACTTTTAAGCAATTTGTTTGTGACTTTTGGAAAATGCATAACTCATTATGTATAGATGTCTTTAAACAAAGGTTTGAGGCTTTGCTAGAAACTTATTCTAATGTTAATGAATACTTGCAAGATCTTATTTACTTAATATGATATTTTTGAACATGTGCATTTATAAGATGTATATTTACAGCTAATATGCAATCAACACAACATGTTGAATCAATTAATACAATTATACATAAAGCTATTTCTTCTAGTTAAATTATAAAAATATTGATAATTTTAAAGATTATTATGATCAAGAAAGTGCTGACAATGTTGAGAACTACTATGACTATTGACAAACATATTTAAAATCATTATTAAATTCTGTCATGAAAGGCTTAATTAAAAAAGTATAAAAGATTATTCCTTATATGGCTCCATATTCATATTAATATATTGTAATCCTTAATAATAGAACTCATTTATGTATATGCTTATTGTTGGTTTCAAATGGTATTGTCTGTCACCACTACTTCAAATTAATGATTAAAAATCAAAATATTTATTTTATCTAATAAAGCTTGATATTGTATTGATTTTATTATTAAAGAACTATTTATTGGCATATCAAAGAATTTGGACCAAGTTAATGATGTTGCTTTTTAGCAAACTGTATTTATTCCTAGATATTATAATAATATTCAGGAAGTTCAAGCATATTAACATACATAGAAAATAAATAGAATATGGACAACTTATAGGACACTTTAAGAAGACTTTAAGTTATTTGCTAAAAGACAATAATTAAAACAATTTAAATAACATTATATTAGATTATATTTCTGAGAAAAAAGTCAAGAAGTAGCTAGAAAGAAGGAATATTCTTAGTAAAAATATGGATTTAAATATTATGATAAAATCATCTGATAGGCATAATTATAATGCAAATGATATCAAGAATTTACTAAAACATCAAGACAAAGGTAAACCTGCTAGCAAACAAATTAAGTCTTATAATAAAAAGGGGTATATTAATAAAATCCAAAGCAATGTTTATGAAGGCTTTGAGAATTTAATAGCAAATATTTAAGAAAATAATAATAATAAACATAAGTATGGATTGTATTATAAATTAGGTCATTATGATCCTAAATGCTTTAGTAAAAAAAATAATTAGCATATTTAGTAGACATAATGGTTTTATATGTATAGTATTTAGAATTACTATGCACTCAGTTTAGATCATATAGAATTTATATAATTGCAAAATAATATGTATTGCATAACTTGTTATTAATGATATTTGAATTTTTTTTATGCCATAATGTAATCTTTTAATATAAATTAATTTTGCAAATTTAAATGAAACCAATCTACAAAATTTTGCTACTGGGTTAGAATTTGAATTTAATTTTATATTATAGTGATTTTGAATTATAATTTAACCAGATAGCAAAATTTTTAAATTGGTAATGCTAGATAGTTTACTTGTAACATTTGTATTATTCTGCATATATCAGATGAACATTATTAATATTAATTTTATAGATTAACATTTTGAGAATATAAAAAGAATAGACTATATAATTTATAGCAGTTCCAATCAACTAACAGATAATTACTTTATAGACACTACATTTTATTAACAAGTTTATTTTACCAAAGCTTATTTTACAGACAAAGTAGTTTTAACCATTGTTGTTAGTATTAGATTAAAATTGAAGTTAAAGATAATGCAATTTAAAAAAAAAACTTATTAGTAAAATGAGCTTTAGTGAAATAACCTGTTAGTGAAATAAACTTGTAAGTGAATAATTGTTGATAAAATATAGTATCTATGAAGTGAAATAATACAGATCTATTTATAGTCTATTCTTTTATTAATATAAATGTTTCATTTGTATATACTTTACTAACAAAATAAAATTAGAGTAAGTAGATCCTGAAAATGATAATAATATGTTTATAAGTTTGTAACAAATAAAAATAATATATATATGTATATATTTAAATAATATGTTTGATAAATTTATATTTTGTATTTTATCTAAACTTTTATATAATAAAATATTGCTATATTGGCAAATAAAATTGAATCACATAATATTGTAGTATAAAAATTAGGTTATGTAATATTGTATGATGAATAATATTTATCATATTATGTAATAAATAAATTTTTTTATATTTATATATATAAAATAGAGAAAATTTATTTATCAGATAATGTGATAAATATTATTCATTACACAATATAATGTGACTTGATTTTCATAGCACAATATTATATGACCTGATTTATTTGCCAATATAGCAATATTTTATTTTATAAAAGTTTAGATAAAATACAAAACATAAATTTATCAAACATGCTATTTAAATATATGCATATATATGTTATATTTATTTGTTACATACTTATAAACATATTATTATTATTTTCAAAATCTCCTTACTCTAATTTTATTCTACTAGTAAAGTATATACAAATGAAATATTTACATAAATAAAAAAATAGACTATAAATGGATTTGTATTATTTCGCTAATAATTACTTCATAAACACCACATTTTACTAACAATTATTTACCTACAAGTTTATTTCACTGATAGGTTATTTTACTAAAGCTCATTTTACTAACAAGTTGTTTTTTTAAATTGCACTATCTTTAACTCTAATTCTAACCTGATACTAATAACAATAGCTAAAACTATTTTGTCTATAAAATGAGCTTTGGTAAAATGAACTTGTTAATAAAATGTAGTGTCTATAAAGTAATTGTCTGTTAGTTAATTAGAACTGCTATAAATTATATAGTCCATTCTTTTTGTATTCTCAAAATGTTAATCTACAAAATTAATATTAATAATATTCATTTGGTATATGCAGAATAATACAGATGTCAAAAGTGGACTATTTAGCATTACTAATCTAAAAATTTTACTATTTGGTCAAATTATAATTCAAAATCACTGTAATATAAAATTAAACTCAAATTCTAACCCAGTAGCAAAATTTTGTAGATTGGTTTCATTTGAATTCACAAAATCAATTCATACTAAAAGATCACACTATAGCATAAAAAGAAATTTAAATATTATAAATAACAAGTTATGCAATACATATTACTTTGCAATTATATAAATTCCATGATCTAAACTAAGTGCATAATAATTCTAAATACTACATATATAAAACTATTATGTCTACTAAATATGCTAGTTATTTTTTTTACTAGGCATTTAGGAGCATAATGACCTGATTTATAACACAATTCACACTTATGTTTATTATTATTATTTTCATGATTGTTTGCTATTGAATTCTCAAAGCCTTTGTAAATATTGCTTTGGATTTTATTAATATATCCCTTCTTATTATAGAACTTAATTCATTTGCCAGCAGATTTATCTTTGCCTTGATGTTTTAGTAAATTCTTGATATTATTTGCATTATAATTATGCCTGTTAGGTGATTTTATCATAATGTTTAAATCTATATTTTCATCTTTTTTTAGCTGTTTTTTGGCTTTTCTCTTAGAAATATAACCTAATATAATATTATTTAAATTGTTTTAATTATTGTCTCTTAGCAAATAACTCAAAGCCTTCTTAAAGTACTCTATAAGTTGTTTATATTTTATTTTTTTCTGTGTATGTTGATGTGCTTGAACTTTCTGAATGTTATTGTAATATCTAAAAATAAATGCAGTTTGCTAAAAAGCAACATCATTAACTTGGTCCAAATTCTTTAATATGTTAATAAATAGTTCTTTAATAATAAAATCAACACAAAACTAAGCTTTGTCAAAAAACCATCTCATTGGCATTAACATTAAATGAAATAAAATACTTTGATTTTTGAACATTAATTTGAAGTAGTAGTGACAGACAATACTATTTAAAGCTAACAATAAGCATATACATAAATAAGTTCTGTTATTAAGGATTACAATATGTTGATATGAATGTGAAGCCATATAAGAAATAATCTTCTATACTTCTTTAATTAAGTTTCTCATAACAGAATTTAATAATAATTTTAAATACATTTGTTGATAGTTATAGTAGTCCTTGACATTGTTGGCAATTTCTTAATTATTATAATCTTTAATATTATTAGCATTTTTATGATTATAATTATCAGAAACTTGGTTTTTATAAGCTTTTTATTAATTCTAAATTAACATTAATTTACTATACTGATACTATATTAGTATATAATAAAATTTAAAATAAAAATTGTTAATAATAATTATTGATTATTTCAATTGTTAAAATTTCCATTTTTGAATTCTACTAGTCTATCACTATAATTAGTATCTACCAATTGATCTTTATTAAACTTAAAAGCCTTTTCAAGAGATAACTTTTTACATTTATATAACACAGATTCACACATTTGCTTATAAATGTTTGTGACAATTTGTGTTAAAAAATATCTTTTTATAGTATCATTAATGTTACTAAAAATAGTATTAACAACAAATAGTTGATAATACATCATTGATTTGTATTTTTACAATAAAAAGCCTTTATTCATTGCTTCTCTCAGCATTTGTGAATCTAATACTCTGGCCATATTAAACATAGTTGAACTAGAAGGAACAGCTTTGTGTATAATTGTATTAATTAATTCAACATGTTGTATTAATTGCATATCAGCTGTAAATATATATCTTATAAATGCACATGTTCAAGAATATCATATTAAGTAAATAAGGTCTTGCAAGTATTTATTAGCATTAGGATAAGTTTTTAGCAAAGCCTCAAACCTTTGTTCAAAAACATCTATACATAATGAGTTACATATTTTTCAAAAATCACAAACAAATTGCTTAAAAGTTGTCATTCCAAGTTTAGCCTTGAGCCATTTAGATAAATTTTGGGAAATGTGCAAAATGCAGTACATGTAATATCTATTCTTATATACTATTTTATATGCTGCCTCTATAGCTGGATCCATGTCTGTTAATATGACTTTTGGTTTAACACCTATAGTATCTAAAGTTTATTGTAACAACTACTTATAACTTTTCTAAGTTTCATTATTTAAAAAAACCTAAGCACTCAAGTATGATTTTTTATTATTATTAATAATTACAAACAGTAATAATAGGTAATTATATTTATTTATTTAAAAAGTATTATTATAAAGTACAATA